ACGTCTTTTCTTTCACTTGAGCTGTTGTGCTTCTGTCACATCAAGCCACTCAAGAACGTTGAAAACAAGAAGCTTGATGTGACGGAATTGAAGATGTTGAGATGGACGGGTATGTCTGGCATGACTGGAAAAGACACGAGTATGAATAAGTCAGGGGACGGTGATGGTAACCTAACGAAAAGTACACGAGGCAAGACTGAGATGGTTTGGACTTGACTTGATAAGAACTGAAAGACTGCATTTTGGAGCAATGCGGATGGGCTCAAAAAGAAAGAAGACCAAGAACCAGATGGGAAGACTGTCGCAATAACAATGACACCCCCCCCACCACACACACACACACACACACACACACACACACACACACACACACACACACACACACACACACACACACCATTAGGGAAAAGCTGGCAGAATGATATCTAAACACCCAAATGCTCAACCCAACCTTCGCTTACTCCAAACATAATTGAAAAAACTCCTAACAGGCTAACGGAAATGACGTGAATTCTAAAGCTTGATACAAGCACCGAGCAGCAACGGGCCATTTGTTTCAATTTGAACCCCTGCGCTCACCTTGACCTTGACCTCTGTCCTCACAGCAAACCCCAGTCAGAGACGCTGAAGGCGGGCAACCTGCGGACACGCGTCAGCCGCTGCGTGGTCTGCATGAAGAGGACGTAACGCCGCACAGCGACCACCGCGCCACCCGGATCCGAGGTCGGGCTGATTCATGCAGACGGCTGATTGGACGACGGGAGAAAAAGAGAGAGAGAGGGGTGCGGGGCGCAGGGGGTCACATGGGGTTCAAGGTGACGGTGGGCGTGGCGTAAACTGGTGGAATTTTATTGGTGCGTTGTCTTCAAGTAATAACAATGGTGCTACTGTGCAACACAGCTTAAGAAAAAAAAACTGACGTAAAGCAATCTGTTTTTTTTTTGCTTTGTTTTTCCTAAGAAGTACCTCAAAACGAAAGCAGAACAAAAAAAAAAATTACAAAATGGTGCCATGATGAATGTGTGACAGCAAACATTCATTTTTCACGCCCCTTTGCCCACCTTCTAAAGAAATGTCACTTTAAACGTGACCCAGGTGTTTCTTCCTTTTCTACATGTGCTCTTTTTTTTTTTCTTGTTCTCTTTTCTTCTTGACGAGGAGGGTGCGGATGAAGCTCTCCGTGGTAACCAAACGGGCACTTTGACTTCGGGACATCCAAGATGCGAGATGCACTGACTAGGAGCTTTCCTTTGTGAGACCGACTGGCTTTTTATTTTGACCACTTTTTTTGTCTTCTTCCTCTGTCCTTTTCATTTCGACGTCCGTCGGGACACGTGGTGGTACTAACCCTGCTGCAAACTCGCCTGCTAACTCCGCCTTCTTTCTTTTGTAAGTAATAAAATGTGTATATTGTGTAAAACACCTTTTATTAGCCTATTAGGTCTTCAATTGGTAACGAGCATTTTTTTTTTTTTTTTTTGCTTACACTCACTCACGCAAACAGATATTGTACAAAGTAAGGCTTTTATGAATGAAAACAGTATTTTATATATCATAAATATATATATTTCTTTAGAAAAAAAATTTAAAAAAATAAGACGTTACTTGGCAGTGGGTGTTTTAAGGTCATGCATTTCACCAAAAAGCAAACTACTGAGCACGGTCAAAGCCATTTTCCCTGCGACAGCTGTGTATGATATGAACATCACTTAAACCTTTTTTTGTATTCAATTTGTAGAATTAATAATAAAGATGAATTAAGGGGATTTGTTTTGAGATTGTCTGATGATCGGGGAAATGTTTCACAGGAATTGAATTAAATCTTGGCTTCTTGTTACACACACAAAAAAAAAAAAAACATGTCATGTGTTTTGTTTCTTTTAACATTTCCAGGTGTTGGGCTTTGCTGTAAAATAGGTTTTTGCACCAAAAACCTCCAAATTTCACACTCAATTCGACAATCTAATGTGTTCAGCATTTGTATGAGGCTATATTTTCCTGTGACTTTTTTTTTTTTTTTTTGTCAAGCTGGGGTGCCACTCAAATGTATTATTTTTTTTTGCCTCCGTTATGTTTCTGTTATGATATTCCGAAGTTGTTTTAGCGAAAGACTGAAATAAACACAATTGACCAAAGTTTTCTGCTGTGACACCTGATCATTCCTCTCGTCTGGCTCAAGCAAAGTCGGGAAACCCGACTCGGAAGTGAGACTCGACGGACGAGGAACTCTGTGAGCAGCAGGGGGCAGCATTCCTGCACACCTCTTGTGGGCGTCCTGGCTGATTTTTTTTTTTTGGGGGGGGGGGGACAAAAACAAAACAAAAAAAGAAGATGGTGACAGAACAAACACACTGACAAACGCACACTTTCGCAAAACAGACTCTCGGTGGGAACGTATTAAGTTACGTGGGGGAAGGGGGGGGTGCTCACAAAAATGAGAGAGAAAACCTTTTTGACATCTACTCTACTAGCCAAACATGCAGTCCTGAGAGCAAAACGTAAACGGAGATCATCACTTTTACTATCCGTTTTATTTGTTGATGAGGAAGAACGGCAAATGTCCAACGTTTAAAAAAAAAAAAAAAACTGTTCTCATCTGCGTGGCTGCATGACCAAAGTGGACTTTGGATTGTTTTTTTTTTCTGTTGAACTTTGGGAGGCTGGGCAGGTCACCTGAGCTGGATAAACAGTCCGTGACTGTTGGTTGAACTTCCGCTAGCCGATGAAGGAGTCCCCCTCGGGTTCAAGATATTTCAGATTCAATTACATAAGGAACTCTTTCGCAAAGGTTGACGCTGCGGACGGTTGAATAAACTCACGCAAAAGCCAAGCGCGGTACGTGGAACATTTTTTTTTTTATTGCAATAGCTCTATGGAAAGCAAAGATTTGAACAATATAAACATGATGCTGATGCTCAAACGGCCTTCCCGAAAGACCGCCGACCACATTGCCTCCATGAGACGGCCAAGAAAAATAAAAGGACAGCGACATGAACAAAGCCACAACCTCTCCTTATTTGCAGGAGACACCGTGAGGTTTATTTTTTTTTTCCCCCAAATGGAGGACGTACGAGGGGAAAAACACCTTCCCGCTATTGAACTCTTTTCTGTAAGGCTAATATGAACAAACAGCATTCAACTGGGAAAAGAACACAAGTAGCAGGAGGTACGCCTCTTCACAGAGGCCCACTCGTCAACCTGAACTGTACTACACAGCAGCAAATAAACTGTAATATAGTTACAAAAAAAAAAAATCACCAATTTCTTAATACAAATAACTTCAAAATGCCGCAAAAGAAAAAGACCGGGCATGTACCGCTTTGTTTGCAGGGTTGCCTGGATGCCATGAAAAAAAAAACAAAAAACAAAAACAACAAAAAAACAAAACAAAAAAAAAAAAATAGCAACGCTCCTCCGGCGTCAGCTAAAATACAAATCAAGGAAAGTCGAGAAACGCAAAGCTTGCATAAGAAGGATGCAATGAACTCCTCTCTGACGACAGAATGAAACTTAATTCTTAAGTCTTCATTCTTTCCAGCCATTTGTGAACACTTTTGTGAGGTGGATGCTTGTTCGATCCAATCTGAGCCGGCCCAGTTTGAAATACTGTCATGTGATAAACCGTTTAAATAAAAAATAAATACGGGTAGCGAGTGAACTGAAGGAAAAAAAAAAAAAGCCAAATTAATTGAAAAATAGCACTCCTGCTGTATGAAAAAAGGACCAGGTTACAATAGCACAAAAAAGTACACGGAACATCTCCAAAGTGGACTTTGGGACTGCCCGCATTTCTAGAGCCATCCACATCGGCGGAAAAACTCAAAATTTGTGCCACGAAGATGACCTCGTGTGTATGTGTGGATGTGTGTGTGCCCCTCACACACACACACGCAGAAAGATCACGAGCAACACGGAGAATAGAGAAGCAAAATGATCAGTCGTGTTTGCGTTTGAGCACACGTCTCGGCTGTCGGGACAGCTGGGAGAGCGGCGGCAAAACGCTACAGGGGACGCCGGCGAGCGCCAAAGTGCGAGAGCGGAGGGGGCGACCAGATCTGGCTGGCGCTACGTCTTGATGTCGGCGCGCGTGTGTGCGTGCGTGTATATAACAGGGCAACTATGTCCACCTGCAACCGCACCTCAAGTTACTGGAAACCTCTTCACGTCACCCGGAAGCATGTGGCATGTGGATGTGCGTCACGCACTGCTGAGAAAGATCCCAATTGTTCGTCAGAGGGTCTACCCTGGGCTGTGTGACTAGTGCGTGTGCATTCCTTGCGAGGCACTGTACCGTGCATCATGTGAGGTAAAATGGAGAATGTTTAATTTAAAAATTAAAAAAAAAAAAACTCTTCGTCGTTTCATGAGCGTGCGCTAACTCCTCCCTAGCCGAGGAGCTAAGAAATGTACCGGAACTATTTGAACCTCAAATAAATAATATGTGCAAGTGTACGAAAGGAACTTGGACTTCCAGTTTGGGATCAGGAAGCCATTTTAGGTCAAGTGAACCAGCGCGTCCCAAGAGGAGCAAAAAAATAGATATATTGGATAGATATGTATATATATACACATTCTCACACAACAACTTTGTCCACCACGTAATAACTGTACGGTACCATAGTGAAAATGGATGGGTTAAAAAAAAAAAAAAAAAAAAAAACTAAACAATAAAAATGAGGATTGTATCAAGACTGCACCGTAATGGCTCCCTTTTTAATACCGCACGAGGAAGTTGAACCGCCTGCTAACAAGATCGCGCGGCGGAGCGTCGACTGGGGGAGAGCAGCAAACGCTGGCGCGTAGCCAGAGAGACCCGAGATTAAAAAAAAAAAAAAAAAAAAAGTGACTGAAAATTTGCATATAAAACACAAGGAAAATAAAATGTGAGACAGCTCATATGAATGAAAAAGATGCAAGCCTTTCTCCGTCATCTCCTTTGTTGTCTTCTGCGTGCAGAACATCTCAGTCCATTTT